GAAATATAGTGTGCTTATTATTTATATGTTTACAATGCGAATTGTGTTTAATGATTTAAAGTTAGTTATGTTATTTCCCTTTTACAAAGACACTGTGTTTGGGTATATGCTGAATAGAATAATCTATAACACATACCTTTAATATTTATCATAAGTGGTGTCGCATGTAACTGTGACAAGTGATAACGTCTGATAATAAGAAAAATATATGAATACATTTGGATGTTATGTATCTAAAAGGTAAAATGCAGCCTTTTTTCATTTTATGAAAGAAGAATATCCATTAGTATCATTATGTTGTGAAAATGTATACTTAATAGAGTTATATGAAAAGAATCGACTGAGAATACCTCTTTACGTGAACACATTTGTATGACTGTATTTGCGTAGTTTTGCATAATGAATACATATTATACATCGTTATATTCAAATCAGTAGATGGCCATTTAAATACAGCAACATCACCTGTTTATCAGCTCATTTAAACAGTGTATATCAACACGATATAGACAGTGTATTGACTCGAGAGAGTAGAATGAAAACATGAAATCAAGCATGCAGAATTTTGAGAAATTCCTACGTGTACTCAGTACTTACTTTTTATACAAATATTCAAAATCTTTAATCTTTTCAGCTGTAACTTTATTCAGTGATTCAACACTGGCCTTTATGTATTCCAGTTTTTCACAACCAACATTTGTAGGTTTATTGCAGATCAATGTAGTTTTTCCTAAAGAGTTTCGATTAATATATTCACACTTATTCTGCCATATGCCTTCATTTATAAGTGTACACTGACTTATGTTCTGTGAAGTGCCATCTCGATATCTACCAGTAAACTTGGTCATCTCTTCCTTTGATTTGATAACATGTCTAAGAAAGTTGATTGCCTCTCTGGTGAATGTCAAAGCAACTGTTATGTTCGCATTCCCTGACCAGGCTGCATAGAAGAATACAGAATATGTTCCATTTGCGTAGTCAACAATACGCCCAGCTGTACTTTTCTGGAAGTCTTCATTCGACATGACTGCTGAAAAGAAGTCACCACCTCGATTTCTTTCACGGCCATTATCATCAAATGTTTCAATTCTAACATGCACGAATTTACCTTTATAAATGTTACTTTTGTTGTTGAAAAGAGAGACCCTATAAAATATAAACACACATATCACGCCACTATTGGTTACACGTGTAATACAGGATATAAGTATGCTTGACAAAACACCATTTACATATCAGTGAGGCGATTTCAATGTTCGAAACAAAAAAGGATCTTCACAGCCGTAAACACACACAAGTTATTATTTCTGAGTAATACAATGACAAACTGGAAAATACAAAAGATTGAAACAACTTTGTGTCTGTATTATTATAAAAATGTATATTGTGCATGTTGTCATTATTCAAAAAGACATGGCATTCAAAAGATATTCGTCCAATGGTCAACACCCTAACCTTATGATTGTACTTGGTTATCTTTGAAAGCCTAGTGTTTTATATACTCACATCGTTCTAGACACAGATGTTAATCCAAGTGAGCCTTTGCCAATGTCAAAAGGAAGGTCTGTACTTTGTCTTCCTTTATGATTCTGTCTATGCATATGCTCCCATTTCATTTCATCAACTATGCTTACCCACTCTATTCCAAAACGATTATAGTTATGATATGGGAGTGAGTTCATATTCATGTACCGTTTTGCAGTATCGTATGTTACAGGTGTATAGTGTATGTGGTTTCCAGAAGTATTCCATATTTGCTGATGACTGATAGTAATTCTTGATTTCGTACATGTATCCATGGATTCCTGGATTAACACATTACAGTGTGGGTAAAAGCGAACGTTTACATGGGTTGAATAATGTTTTTAATTTATTTGATGAATAAGCAAATCATTGTGGTTTGGGAAGATTGTTAGTCTCTGCAGTATACGAGATACTATTCTAACCTAGCCACTCAAATAAAGTTTCTTTCATTAGTCAAACTTAAAGCAAACAAATTGTGTTACTCACCAAGCTGAGTACATGTACATATATACCAAATGCCACGCCAATGAGAAAGATTACGAGTGATTTAAACCTTGGCTTTACACATCCGATGAACCATTTCAACATGGTCATTATACATTCCATCATCAATTTCTTCCTATTCAATAATTTAATGTTCAGCAATAATGAACAGTACCATTCAATCTGGGTTTCAAAGAAATGTGAAAACAATCATACATTTTTAAAAAAACTGGTTTGAATTGCTTTTGGGCAATCTATTTTGATAAAATATTTTCTGTTAATTCTGTTTTTGTAGGTGATAGCGACAGTAGTCGATGATAGAGTAGTGATTTTATAGTTGATGGTGATTGTGGCTGATGATGAAGCATGGATCTCCTAGATGATGGTGACTGTACCTGATGATGGAGCTTCAATCTTAAGGTGATGGTGACTGTAGATGATGATGGAGCTCGAATCTTATAGGTGATGGTGACTGTAGCTGATGAAGCTTGGATTTTATAGATGGGAACTGTAGCTGATGTTAGAGCTTGGGTTTTATGGAAGAAGTTGACATTAGCCAATTGTGGAGCATAGATCTCCTAGATGATGGTTACTGTAGCCAATGACGAAATATCGATCTTATAGGTAACAGTGACTGTTGTTGATGACTGAGCTTGAATCTTAAAGGTGATGTTGACTGTAGCTGATGATAGAGCTTGGATTTTATAGAAGTTGACATTAACTAATGGGTGGTGGAGTATGGATCTCATAGATGATGGTGACTGTAGCCAATGATGGAGCATGGATCTTTTAGATGATGCTAACTGTAGCCAATGATGGAGCATGGATAGATTCACTCCCTCCCCAATGTATGCAAACCACTATGACACATTTATAAGTAACTGTCTGTAGTCTAATTCAGCGAGTCCAAATCAGCTTAGCATCAGCCTAATTAGTCAACTGTTGTGTTGTAAATGAATCAAAGTCAGCACCAACTGCACTTCTTGAGTACAGTATCATATGGAACAGTCAGTTTGAATTTACACAAGTTCACCATAATGCTACTATTTATGAAGTATTTATTGGTTCAGTGTGTCAAGAGTTTGATGTCCAAGCTTGATGTAGTCAGTTTCCAAGTAGCAATAAGGCCTCTCATTCATTCATTCATTTCCAATAGGATTGTACCAATTATATCACAATTATACCTTACGAGGATATCTCCTGCTTATCATCCATTTTTAGCCCAACTATCACTCATTTTGCTCCCACATTTTGATTTCGTTTTCCCCACACTGAACATTTATTCCTCTCAATATTCAATTCCTACAAGTGGGATGGTACAGGATTGTGACAATGCAGGGTCATTTATTACTGACAACTTTGGGTGTTTTGGCCTGTTCATTCCTTCCTTCATTCATTGATATTGTATTGTATTTTTGGTTGACAACATGGAACGAATTAAACGCGTCTTTGGACTTTTAGCCCAAGCTGGTGACCTTGATCTAGACCTCACGCGCTAGCATTCAAATGCATAGCAACAACTGCAAGTTGTGATTAACACAAATACCGGTAGGTTAATTTGCCTACAAAGGCTGTTTTGTTTACATAACACAATCTTTCCCAACTGCTTCTCGTGAGAATTGCTAAAACATACTATTTTAGTTGAATAGTTATAATTATAGGCATAATTCAATGACAGTATATGCATCTTGGCTTGTTCTTAAGTTGTGTAAAGATTTTCTTTTTGCTTTCTACAAAACATAGTTTTGTCCAAATATGCTTTGAACGCATTCTTAAGAGCTTCCTTTCCATTTTCTTGTTCAAGCTGATTATCCTGTCTGCTTTGAGTGCATTCATAAAAGCTTCTCTTTCCCTTTCATCTAGTTCTTATTGAAGCCGTTTATCCTCCTAATGCTAATCATGTTGCATTATCCAAAGCCTGTGCATAAAAGTGGTTTTAACTTGTACAGTGGGATACTGGCGAGTCACAAAGTAATTTACTTTAATTTATTTTACTACTAAGTAATTTACTACTTGCATACAAGTTTGTCCCTATTGTTCATGCTCGCACACATACATGAATTTCAAGGTCACCATTATATAAATTATCCAAACTTCAAATCAAGATTAAATCAAAAAAGATTAGAAAGAACTCCTGTGTGCTGAAGGTATAGGAGCTATGAAGTACAAATACTGTATTAAAAACGCATCTTATACGCAAACATTGTGTTTATTGCATGCAGTCATTGAAATGTCTTATTTTAACCATAGACTCGTCTTTGTCCTATATTTTTACAGAAAGCACTTCTAACGTGCTTATAATAGAGCAAATACAGTATTTATAAATATAACTGCAAGCAATAATTAGGGTGGTTCCAAGTAGCTATGATATATGCGATACTACAATTATAAATATTTAACAAAATAATGATCATATATGATGACTTGATATTTTGCTCATATAGCTTGTCAGACAACACAATTATAGCACTGGTTCCTATCCGTAACAGTACGTAGTACATTACAGTTATGCATATTAAGACACACATGCAACAAATATGCATAGATTTCAACCCTGAAGTAATCAGATCTGTGGACCATTTACCTAGTATCATTAAAATTGATCAGTGGTACTCAAGGATATCCGTGGAGCAACTATAAATTGGTTAATTTATGCAAATTAGGAAATTAGTAAGCACAGAATGCAACCCTAAACTGAACATGTATTGTATATGGCTTATCCCAAAGCACCTACAATGTACATGTGTAAATATAAAGTTTCAACTGAAATCTGTTTAATAGTACATGAGAAACAAGCGAAAATGCTTGAAAATGCTATGCAAATTAGGTTATTAATATGCACAGATTTCTAGTAAAAACTAATCAAGTCTGCACAATATCCCAGAGCATTTATGTTTCATTTAAGTCTGTTTAATGGTACGAAAAAAAAGTGAAAATATTTAAATTGGCTAATTAATATGCACAGGTTTCAATCAAAAACTAATCATTGTCCAAGAGCATAAATTTGCCAAGTTTCATTAAAATTTGATGATTGGTTTTTGGTTTTTGAGATATCAGTGGAACAGACAAAAATTCACAGAGTCAAAAAAGCTTGATTATGTCATGGGTGTATTGTTGGGTGATGATTCAGTCCGATTTATTATTATTGACAGTCTTTCAGATTTGCCATCTCTGTGCTGCATTTTCACCAATAAGGCTCGAATATTAAATATTACACATTTGCTGCCACCAAAGCTGCACAGAAGAAATATAGACATGCCTCTGCCATGGTGCTTTCTGGGTGAGGTTTGACTCAATGTCAACTGAAAAAGAATTTACGATGAACTTGGACAATCAAGATCAAGTGTTGCATAACAAATAATTGGATGTTATTACAAGAACAACACTGGATGACATCGTATTTAGTAATTTTTTGTTTGACATCCTCATTATCGTACATGATTAAGCAATTAGGTTATATGAAACATTTTCGTGGCTGACGGGGCAATCTGTGATATGCCACATTTTCAATTCTTAAACTATGAATGACATAATTCCATTGAAAACTGATAATAGCTGTGAATAACTAGAAAGTGTTAATCTATCTACACATCATGTACACCTGCACGATCAATAAATCTGCAGGAATATAGTCATAAATGTAACATCCCAAATGAGGTATCAAAGTTTTCCTGATTCAATTTTCTACCCCAAAGTTTTGGTTCAGTAAATCAAAGAACACTAAGTTAAATATGATATAAAAAAATGAAATGTATGCATGCCAGTTGTGTTAAGTTAAGTAGTCTTAACATTTAAATACATTACGCGTGTTAAACAAAGAGTTCCATATTTAATATGTGAATTAGAGGACGATATTTGCAATGCACAATCAAAAGGTCTGCCTCTTAATGGTATTATAATTTAATTCATGTGAGATAAAATGATAACACTGGGAAAGTAAATTTTCGAAGTGATAGGAATAGTGATAAACACGCTATGACAATATAACTCTTACTCACATCACATATGTATCCTTGGTTGGCATAGACTTCTTAACCTTCAAATTTATATAATTATGCAAAAATATTCTGCATAACTCACAATCGCAAGTAGATTATATAGAATAACAAAATTATATACAAAATTTATGGTCAAATATGGGAAATGGTAGACTTCACTGAGACAGACATTAATACCCAAATGATGAATGAAAATAAAACACGCAAATAAAAACATGGAGTTCAGATTAGGCTTAGTTAAAAAAAGCGTTATTAATTGGAATGAGAATGACAGTAGTGACACATGTTCAACCAAATACAAATAGCAGCTATAATATAAAGTATACAATTATTTTGAGAGATAAACAGGAATGATGGCATACAAGGAAAGGCAACATGGTATATAGAAATGTATCAAACATGTTATTAACAGATGTTGGATTAACTTTGTGGTGAATATAATAATTTGATTTTGTCTTCAAATCCATAGATTGTATTACCAGTTACCGGAATGTAACAGCTTGTAGTCTCATAAAAGAGGATTTACTTTTGTTACTTTGTATCATTATTATGTGATAGCATGTTTGTATGCGAGTCATAGTTAAACCTGGCTATATAGAATCCCTTTTAGTACAAGCCATTCCATAATGCAGTACGTGCTGGTTCAAACTCAGCCGACGCGTATTTATCAATATTGTCTCAATTTTTTCCAAGATACCAATCTGATTAAAATCCGATGTTTTGTACAACATGATTATAATTTAATTTTAGCTATATTTTTATTATTTCGGAATTGTTTTTATTATTACATACAATCTTATTTTGTATTACTAAATTTATAAGTACATCATCAATATCACATCTGAAAGTGCTAATGTTTGTAGAAATTCAGCTTCATATGAATAAATCAGCCACCAAGGGTGCACAATTTGTTCTCATCAGAATGCCGATACCTTCTTGAAAAATATATTCTTCAAATTCAACACATATGTTGTCAATAATAAATTCTAGCATACTACATCCCTTCGTGTAGACAATTTTTGCATAACTCTTGTTGTTAAAATGAGTAGAATCATATCCAAGCACTATCCATTTGTGGAGACTAAAATTGCAAGATGCTTGATGGATTATATTTTAATGCATAATTTGAATTTATAATGTGTACAGCGTTTTATTAATTGAATAATTGAAGTAATTGTGTAGTGGTCAAAATAAACTACTGGGGTAACTGATGGGCAATTAGCAGATGACAGTTTATCACTCAGACACCTTATATGCTTTTATATAATTTTATTATAATTATTACTATATTATGTCATGCATCATTTTTCATAATCAATGAGGCCCAATAAAAGAGATACAGGTAAGTCATTAATCAATTATGCAAAACACCAAAAATAATACATCAACTCAATCAAACAAAAAATACACGTTTCTATTATGAATAGCAAGATGGGGTAAATAAGAATATTTGGTATTTAGATTGTGAAATACATAATGTGAATTTTCTTACAAATTGTGGCTGGTAAATATATATATCAGCTGGTTGTTTTAATGAATTTAAAAAAAAATGCTTGTCAGTATTCATAGTTACTTCCACTCTGGCATCATCGACGATAGCGGACGAAGCTGAAAGAGATTTCATCTATCTCTGGTTAAAAGTCTTGAAATATATTACAGAAGAAAAAGAGGATAAATAACTATGGAAAAACTAAAAAATCATTTTATACAAATACATATGATGGCTGTGTTATGAATCATTATTTTGATAAACACACTTTAATATATTCTCTATAATCTTAACTTCAATATGTGATCTGTGGATTCCCTTGCAATATCCAAGTAACAGTTTCTTCTAATAAAGACATCTTGTAGTGACTATATAAAAAAAACGAAAAAAAAAACTTTAATAAAATCTGAACAAATGCATATTAATATATGTGACACAAGCAAAATGAAGTTGTAGAAGTTTGATTCCAATCAGTCATGGTATGTCGAAGATTATGGCCTTGGATTTACCAGAAATACAAAAAGTTCTACAGTCGTTTTTGACAGAAATGATCTTTAGGAATACATATGGCCACCATGCAGCCATCTTAAATCAGATCTTGAAACAAATACTATACACGCATGTCTACTAAGATGTATAATGTTTGTGTGAATGTGTTGTGACCAGGCATGTGAAAGATACAGGTGGGGATGGATACATGTAGAGGTCACTCCATAAGCAAATTCAAGTTTTCAGACTGCATCTTCATAAGAACATAGCCATGCAAAGTAACAATTATTGATAGTATAAAAACAACTAATTGAAAAACCAACTAAGTACTTTTTTAAAGTGGTCTATTATGAGCTAAACACCAGACATCCGATACGGTTGTATATGTATGAACAGGAAAAAAACAATTTCATGCAATTGCAGTAGAAAGCTAGTAGAAACCTATTTAAATGTGCCAATTGAAGTTAGTGTGGTTATTAGATTATACATGTAGAATGGTGTTACAGTTATTGCTGGTGGTATAGTGGCCAAAACAAGACATTTATATTTTAATAATAATTTTAATAATTTTAATTAAAAAAAAAAAAAAAAAATTATTATAAAAAAATTATTATAATTATTTTAATAATATAATAAATAATAATTCTTATATGGAAACAGAGGTACATTATTTGGGGTTTGCAAGTAGCATGACATGATACCAAAATCCTGTTTCAATCTTGCTCTCGCATAAGCTCAGAACAATGCAAATGTGCATGCCCCAGGTAACTAGGATACTGGGAGGTCCAGGTGATCAAAAAAGCTGCTCACGATATGACGGATTACAAGAACTATGTTTTCTGCACATTTTCGATGTATTACATTTTTTCACTATGATAGTGGCAAGACAAGTTTTTATTGTTTTAATACAAACCTTGAACATTGATATATGTCATGTCAGAAGGTCATAGCATCAGTCTCGCTATCTACGAAATGAGACTTGAATGGGATCTTGACATGATGTCACCATACAGAACTATGTGCACTGCAAACCCCAAGTAATGTACCTCTGATAGAGCATATAAGATTTCAAATGTCTTTATTAGCGTTTATGACTGACACTTGTATAACAGAAATGATAAACATAATCCAGTTTATCTTGTTTTTTGTTGTTGAATGAGGTCATCAGTCAAGGCATGTCAGTATTCCAGCTCTGGAACAGCATTCGTTAAAACAAAATGGACGAAAGTCAATCATTTTAAATGTGATCAGGGAGAAAAATGCATGAGCATATAATTGACATGATGAATGTCAATCATGAATTATGAAAAGGAAAAAGTTTTAATATGATTGGTCAAGATAAAAACTGTGAAATGGCAGAAATGCTTGATTCAGCTTTTTGTTCAGCCCTAATTTGGCCAAATGCATTTGTGTGATCTGTGTGTGAAGTTTTTAATTTAACCCAGTCATGTCTGAGCAATGGATGGACAAAGACAGACACAGAGTTGAAATTATAAGTTTCTGTTTTTAGATTACAAGTATGAACAGGGACTATATAACAAAGAGACACTTACATAGCAATGTTTCTGAAAACTTTCATCTTCTCAGCAAACTTTGATATCGCCATGGTAACATCAAAATCACCAGCACATTCACAATGAGCCGACATATTGAGGGCTTTTATCTGAAATGATATATAGAGTATGTAGCATGTCCATAGTAAGAAAAAAAAGACAATCATCTGGCCTTCAGCTTTTAAATGTCCTGTGCAATTGAAGGGAAGCAGAGGTCTGGCTTTTGTCACTTCGTACATGAAATTTGAAATCTATGAATGAATTCTGGTTATAAAAACAACTTGTATGTGCTGTGAAATGCCCT